TGTGTACACGTGGTGAAACACCAAACCAATGTGCCAGGATCTGGACAATAAAGATGTATCTTATCTTATTCTATCTTATCTTAAACGAGGTGAATAGGAGAAAGAAAAGACATATAATCTAATCTAGATCTACATGTTTAGCCTTACACTTTATATCGATACTAAATTAGTTCTACCGTCGGTGTTCGAAAGTCCAAACGTACTAAGCTAAGGCAAAGACAATTCATCACGAAGGTCACAGAGATAGATCTAGATCTAGAATCTAGATCTAGATTCTATATCTAGTCCAAATCTTTTATCCCACAAACAAACTTCAGAAGTTAAAAAAATCACACGGCAGGGGGTACCCACGACACAGTCCGAAAACACGAAAAGCCATTAGCCACAAAAACACAAAAATCTGAACCAAACGCCCGATGGCATCCAACCATAGAGTTACCTGACTATAGTGTACATCTATGCATCCAACGAACCTCCCAGTAGGACGACTCTCCAGGAGGGGAACAAATATAATACATAATAGTCACATTATCCCGAATTGATGGACGTGATTCGTGAGGCCAACAAGAGAATCGCATTCATCGCGGCGTCGTCGCCGTTCGTTCTCTGTACGTCGTCCGAAAGTTCCGCGGCGCGACTGCCGACTGTCTGACTAGTGACTGTCTGTCTTGTCAGGTCTCGTGAGTGGTCTGCCTGCTAGGGCTGGGCAATGAGTCGCTTTAGCAAAATCCGGATAATATGTTAGTGTACCTCTTCGGCAATAAATTAATGTGTTATGAACCGCTTCGGCAAATGGGTTAGAACCACTTCGACAAACGGGTTAGCATCACTTCAACAAATGGGTGCACCCACTTCGGCAAACAGGTTGTGAAAGAGATTTTAAGAGTCTGAATTCGGATAATGTTTCATTGAGAATTATCCTGTTGTCCCGATAGCTTATCCGGTTGTCCGGATAGATTATCCGGATTTTGCCTACCACTCACTACGTCTACTCCCTGCCTGCTCCTGGTGGATCAGATAGGGCAACTGAACTGACGGAACTTGACTGACTGACTGACGTACCGACGGTGTTCTGTGGTGGTTGTGGTGGCCCGGACAGGTAGGTAGATGGGAGGGGGGGGAGGCGGTCGAAAATTGGAGGACGAAGGTCATTGTAATGTGACTGTGATTGTGTGTGAGTTTGTGTGTGTGTGTGTGTGTGTGTGTGTGAATGTGTGTG